AATGCAACATTATCCACCGGAAATCTACCGCATACCATCCACAGACAAATGGTCTTACTGAGCGGTTCAAACGCACACTTGGCGACATGCTGAGGATGTACACCTCCTCCGACCACATTAACTGGGACGCTGTATTGCCCTTTGTTACCTTCGCTTATAACACCGCGACGCAAGCAACCACCGGTTTTAGATGCGGAGCATCTAATACTCGAGACTTGTAGTGCGGCGCCGTCCGCAAGCTTCCTCCTCCTTCTTCCGCCATCTGTGCATCCCTTCCTCCTCTACACACCGCGCGCGCTTCACTCCTCCACCATCTGTGCACCCTTCCTCCTCTACACACCGCGTGCGCTTCTCCTCTTCACGAACATTCGCTAGCTGTATAATGTAGCGCGCATGCGCCGTCACGCTTCGAGAACATCGGCAGCTGACGCGCGCGCATGCGCCGTTGCGCTTCTCCCCCTTCTCGAACGTTCGACAGCTGACAGTGCATGCGCCGTCGCGCTGTATATATACTCAAGGTCGGTGCTCGCTCGCTCAGTTGCCGCTCGTCGGTTGGTTTGTACGGCGCGTCGACGTCCGGGGTCGCAATGATCGACGTCCCTTCGACCAGCGCCGGCCAAAGTGTTGGCGGAACGACAAGAACATGGCCGACGAATTTGAACGTTTGCAGAAACACAGACTGGACACCGTCACCCAAGGATACTGTCGCGCGCTCGAAGACGTTGACTCCGAGTCCCATTTCACCCTGGCACTGCTCAACACCCGGTCGCTAGGCGCTCACGCGGCTGACGTCGTGCGAGATCCCGTACTACGCAGAGTGGACGTGCTTTGCTTCACCGAGACGTGGAACGCCAATAACGTCGACGTTGCGGGATACGCTTCGGTCGCGCGCACGCACGGGTTCCAACGACCTGCGGGTGGTGTGGGAATTTACGTCAAGCGTGACGTCGACAACGACGACGACTACTTCATTGACCTCCGACTACAGCCCTGCGTTCAACAACGCGCCAACGGCGGGCACTGCGTTGCTACCGTCTGTGGCGTCGACGTCATGACGATGTACCTCGCGCCAAACCTCTCTCGTGCCGCCGTACAAAAGTACGTCGACGAGGCCGTGCAAGATTACAGAAAACAACAACCGCAACATCGACCGTTCATGCTAGTTGGCGACTTCAACGTCGACGTCATCAAGGACGATTGGATAGTCGAATACATGGCGTCGCGACACTCGCTGAAACGCGCAACGCACGACGACTGCAAACACCACCATCCGACCACCATTCGCGGAACCTGCATCGACCACGTCTTTGCAAATTTCGACCTACGACCGCTGCAACCCGATCCACTCACTCTTCATTTTACCGACCAAAAAGCCATCGTGCTCAAAGTTCGTCGCAATAAATAAACACCGCCCTTTCGCATACGTGTCGTACGTGTTCACTCATTTAACACCCCTCCTACAACCACGTTAACCAATTTAGCCAGCGACCCAAGTAAGTCGCAATTTAACACCCCATTTCACAACCACGTTAACCAATTTAGCCATCGACCCAAGTAAGTCGCACTTTAACACCCCGTTAACCAATTATATGCTCCGCATCCTCCTCAGTGTTCCCCCGAGGGAAGCTGCGGGCAATTTTTTCCCCGTTCTTTCTATTGTACGGCCGCGAACCTTCCCACCCCCTCGACACTATACTACCGTACCGCCCTGATGCATCTGAGTGCTCCCCGCTTTCGGAAGTCGCCAGATACGCTGAAGACTGCCGTCAGTTGGCTCGGTCTCTGACAAGTGAGGCTCAAGGTCTACAAAAGACTCGACACGACGACGCTCACCGGATAGCTCCTACATTTCGTGCTGGCTCCCTTGTGTGGCTTTGGGTGCCCCCGCACGTTCCTGGCCTGTCTTCTAAACTTCTGGCCCGGTACCATGGTCCCTACCGTGTCATTGACGCGACCTCCCCGGTGAATTACGTCATCGAGCCATTAACACAATCACCAGATTTGCGCCGTCGAGGACGCGAGACCGTACACGTCGACCGTCTCAAGCCCTACTACGACCCCCTCATTGTGCCTACTCCCTGAGTCGCCAGGATGGCTACCCTTCACCCCGGGGGTATTGTAGTGGAGCATACGCACCAACGCGTATGCGCCTTCGGAAGACAACGAAAAGCCCGTGCTCTGATTGCGCGAGAACCTGTGCCGCCTTTGCCAGACTTGCTGTTCGCCCATTTTCCGTCGCGACCTCGTTGCGACTCCTCTGTTCTACTAAACATCATCGCACAAGGAAGGACACGCGAGATAGATGTAAATTTTCGTTGTGGGTCAGAAAGAAGCCCCAAATAGACCATTTATTTTTGAAGTGCTGTGTATATACCCCACGATAACTTGGTTGGGTGCTAGTAAATTAAGGTACCCAACTAATAGCAGTGACAGCGCAAGAACCGCTTAACCTAAAGCACGAAAAGCGGCCTGACCCATGCATCCAGTAACAAACATAGTGCATAGTACACACAGCAAACCAAATAAAACAGGTATATAGTTATGAACGAACAGAAAGTTGTATTCATCTCTAACTCCACGTCGTAAACAGCGTCGTCTTTCACTTGCGAAACGCACTTCGCTCTGACGAGGACGGCGTCGTCTGCTACGACTTGCTTCGCATCGGCTACATGGTTGAGTAGACGCTGCCTTTTTACCAAATCGCTGCCACGAAAAAAATCCTCAATTGTGGCGATCCTATTAAACGCGGAGAGAAGCGTATACATCATAACCGCGCGCGGCGCGAAACTCTCAAAAACACGTGCAGAACGCGTGCAGCGTGCGAGCAAAGCAACGCGTTTTCAAGGCCGGTTGAAGGGGACAGCGGAAGGGTCAACACTCGAGTAACCAGTTTTCTCCCCGTATTGACAGACAGCGCCAGGCTCTGCAGCGCCTCCCTCGGCGTGGGTCTCTCTTCAATCTCTACTTTCACTTTATACGAATTTCCATTTTTTTTTTTTTCACGTGCCTAAGTAGTAACATCGCGAAGCTGCTATGTACTTTTCTGTCTTCTTTTGGGGACTTGTTTTTTTTTATTCTTTTCGGAAGGGGGGATCATTCTACCAGCACGTAGTGGGACGACAGCAAGAGCGGCTCTCAATCTGGAGGAAAAAAGAAGATCGCGTGTTTCTTCTCTGCTGGAGAGCCAGCCACGACTGACGCATCGGCCTAGAGCTAGCTACCCGGTGATTTTTAAAATCCCCCAGTACTTGTGACTCATCGTGACAATATCAGTGTAATCGGCAAAGGTTGAACGATTGAACGTGAAGATTTTGAAGCTTAAAAAAACAAAGGTCGAAGTGCAACGCATGTATAAGTGATCCTCCAGTTGTCCTTACAGCTAGATAAAAAAAATCGCGTGGATGAACAGCAGGTGCATGTGGCGTTGATCATGGAAGTGTGCTGTTTGTATCATTTTAACGCAATTTTCGCCTTTGTAATGTGAAGTATGCAGCTGTGGAACGCCTTCTCCTATTTTTCATGAATGCGCTTCGGGTACGTGGGTGTGTGGACTTTCCGCAGTAAGCATTCCGTGCCGACCGGTTGTGCCCTCGCGATCTCCGGCGTCAGGGTAGCTCTGGCTGACTGGGCTCACCCTACGTCATCTCCTGACGCCGATCTCCGCCGACATCGTAGCTCTGACCTACTGGACTTGCTATACGCCATCTCCTGACACCGACAAGAACTCTCGCAAGTGGTGCCCCGTCCTTGGATTCATGTGACCGTGTTTCCATCTTTCCTATCTCTCCTATCCCCTCGCACCCTGATGCAGACAGTTACGGGGCTCACTTTTATCTTCTTTTCCTTGTTATAAACATAAGCACTTCCCTATTTTGCTCGGTGTCCTGTCAGGTTGAGCTCCATAGTTTGCTCTTCCAAAAATATTTAAACCAACTCGCCGAGAACGCTATACGTATGTGGTGTTTTTTTTTTTAACATGGCTGTGACAAATAGGCATCTAAAGTTAGTTTAATTATGTCCTAGATAAAAACGGGTGAAGGAAAGGCAGATTACTTGTTTTGATAGCGCAGCGTGGAGCACCGCACGGAATGCAAGACAAAGAGCGTTGAATATACAAGCCCATGCTTCAGTGTTTTGTCCACATTCATCTTCTGTGCGTTACTTCACAGTTCACACAAACTTCATTTATGGTGATCACAATCTCGTCCAATAATGTTGATCTTGCTCAACCTGCCGACTACAATTGGGGATCGTTTCTGTTAGATAGATCATTTGGTCTATCAACTGTTATTTTACTTTTCTTTATTGATTAAAGGCCATGTATGTGGTCCAGTTTCTTAGCTGATTTTTCTTTAATATGTCTTAAACAGCTAGCCCTTCCTCAGTTCTAATATATCTTCCATACACATCGAAGAGAAGCACTTCTACCCTGCCCATCCCCAGTCTTGACCCCAACCCTTCGCATTTGAACTGCCTTTGACTCGCGTTCACAGTCATAATTATGAATATTCCAGTAGCGACTTTCCACACCTTTCATCATTGGTCAAAGTTCGCCTCACATACTATTACATATTCTCGTCAGCTAGAATATGTCGACAGTCCTCCCCAAACACCACCGTTGACACTGTTACTGACCGGGATTGACTGAAATAGAATGAACTCAAAAGTATCTTGAAATTCACGTTTAAATCTAATCCAACCCCTTTCCACATCATTAAAAGCACTCGACATGTTTTTTATAGTCCCCTTATTTAACTTAGAATGGCAGGTGAACCAATCAATGCGTTTGCGAAGTGGGTAAAATTAAGAAAGGCCAGACTGGTGACAGAAGGTGCAAAATAAACGTAGCTCAGCTGAAAAAAAAAAACATCTTATTTAAATGGGTTGCCAAAAAAACACGTCGGCGTGAGCGCACACCTCGAGCAAGAACATTAAGGACTTTTCAGGCAAAGAGGAGTTGTTCTAGGGATATTTTGGTGGCTGGAGTTGGCGCTTTTGTTGATGGCGGCGCCCATTGTGACAAAACCAGCAGAAGACCGTTAAAATGTTCGCAGTTGTTGCGGTTGTTTTGGCTTGCGTGTCACACGAAAGTGTGACTTCGGATGGGAATGTTACTGCGCTTTGCGGAGTCCATTTACTGCACTTTGGGTGCAACCACGCCGTTTGCTCACGACTTGTTTCTAATGACCATGCTGTGCGCTCGCGTATTCATAACGTGTGCGTGTTAACGGAGGGTAATTGCTCACGAACCGCAGTGCATGAAGTGTTTCCGACGCAAAGTGCTGCACTCCATGCGGCCTACTTAATGTGATCTGCGCTTTTGTGTTTGTGCACCGACGTCGTTGGTGTGTCGTCCGTTGGTGGAGCGTACTTGTCGTCCTAGGATGTTTTCGGTATGTGAGTTTGCGATGTAGTAAACGGCTCGAAAAAAGAAGTGGACGACCTACGACTCCAGCAGAACAACCGAGTTACGGTTTCGGCAAAGTCGATCCCGCGATGCGTGCGAAAGCCCGCGAGAAAAGCCGACTTCGTTTACGGTGGTTGTGACACACTTCCGTGCAGTGCAGACTTGGAATGGAGAACCGAGCAAGCTGGTATGGATTCGTACTGAGGACTGTGCAGCGCTCTTAGAAAACAATCGAGTACGAATAATGCAGGCGACAGTCGGTCGCGTGTACGTCTTTCGTTCTCCGTCTGTCGTGTGCCCTTTTTTTTTTTTTTTTTTTGTCCTCCGTCGTTTTCTTGTGAGCGCTGAACAGTCCTAAGAGCAAAGCGGCCTCGTTTCTTTGGAGGTGACATCTAACAAGTGTTGCAGGGCCACTTTATACTTAGATATATGTATATTTTTTTATCATCAACACTGCTGGCCAGAAGAGGGGCCACAATGCAAACATTTGTATGTTTGCAAAGATTTCTTGTCTTTCATAATTTCCATTTATCTCTGCCTTGAAACAGTGCACCATTCGCCTTGTAAAATTACAAATAATAAACGAGAAAACTTAAAATACTCGAACTTCAATAAATGTACATTTTTTAAACAAAGTGTGTAATTTAATGCAGAAATATACAGACCTGTTCCTGGGCTGCTGTTAAAAATGGTAACAAGGGGACACAACATTATTTTACAATGCAATTTGTAAGATATAATTTGCATGTACATCTGTTTACTGTGTCAAAGTTGTTTCTGTAGGAGCTCTGTATGGGTACTCTGTAGTCACCTGTATTTTTAAAACTTTGGGTTGTGCAGTCATAGTGGTTTATGGTTATACAACAAAAAGTGTTTTCGATTATTTTGTTGGCTGCATTGGAGACAGCCAGTGATGTTGTGAACAAGCCTGGTGTGGCTCCTTCATGACTGCATGCAAAAACTTGTGTTCCTTGCATTGGCTTTCACTTTGCTTATACTTGTAAATTGTGCCGATCATGAAGTCATGTGCCCGCATTGAATCGAATTGCAGTCAGTGCAGCATATACGGCATACATGTGGTACAAGAGTTGAATCAGAATGCTAGATAAGCTTCTGGAAACTACACGTTTTAGTAATATTTGCTAACAGATTAGTTGGGATGCATAGTTTACTCACATGGCAACACAAATGCAACAAGGACCAAGGAGACATATCGAAGACTGCTGACTCGGTCCTGTGTTTTAGTTTCTTGTTAAGTTTGTGCTGCTATATGTACCTATATAGCAGTTGTTTTATTTTAAAAGTGATCTAGCAGTGGAGAGGATCGTCACTATTGGGTATGGCACAAGGTTCACGGTATTAAAGTAACTATATGTTACAGGCAGTGTGTGTGCCCATTAAAACTGCAAATGGCTTACTCAGAATAGCACAAACTAATGACTAAGTTGATGCTCTGGTGTATGCTCTGGCACCAGACCCAAGTGTGTAATCTACTTATTTCGGACATGATCTGTAATGTAGCTGTGCAAGCCATCTCACATGTTTTGCTCTTGCTTGATTTAAGCAAGAGCAGACAAAGTCCATGTAGAGTGAGGGCCACACCTTCCTGTGTAGGAAAATTAATTCAGTTACAGGAACTGTGCAACTTTGTTTCTTCAGATATGCTGCAATGAATTCCTTATTAATTACTAGACTTAACTGTAAATGTTAAATGAACCAGCTTCGTTCAGTTTTGTGATTAGTTAGTGTTTTCACGCTGATGTTACCTATACCGTTTTTGTTTTTCTTACCAGCATTCCTGTCTGAGTGTGATCAATCCTAGCCAGATCAACAGTTTTAAAGCGTAGGCACAGCTGAGGAAACAAAGGCTGAGCTTAATGCAAGCTAGATCCATTGATCTGGCTTGGATTAATCTCGGCCTTTGTTTTTTCAGCTGTGTCTAAGCTTTAAGACTTTTAGTGTTGTCAGCATACTGAAATAACTCTGCTCTTCTATGGTTTCAGGTATGCACTTCCAAGAGGCACTCATCTCATCATGAGGAAGATTGTGGCTATGCGCGGGTGCACAGCTTTTGATGTGCTCGCAAGTTTCATTTTCGCGGTTGATAAAGTGTTAATCTCTTTTTTCTTGTGTCTTGCCAACATGCAAACTTGCTGGGTGTTTTCTGTCATCTGGGAATATGAGCGGCTATAACTTCGAGTCACGGGATTTTTTCAGATGTGGTGCTATCACTCTGTTGCGTACACAGCATGAAATACTGCAACGGCTTTCTCCAACTGATTGTGCCGGTGGTTGAAAGAAATGTCAACATATGAAACAAGAATGTTAGTATGTATCATGGGATCAAATGCAACATTTAGTGGCACACCTTGATGTCGCATGTGATGCCGTAATACCAAACAAGAAAAGTTTAGGGCAAGATGGTAGTTTCAAGTGGTGACAAATCATCTCACAGGGCATTTAGGTGGAACCACCATTGCCATGAGGGGATACAAACAGAAGTCGCCTGGTCACAGTGATGGCTTTAGCTTCTCAATGGTTTCTTGTCAAGCTATGGCTTAGCTGCTTTCCTGTCAGAAAGACATTGCAGATGTAGACCTTTTTGCCATTGAATGAACACGGCGACACATTTTTGCCAACAGGGGCTGCGGTAAACCACTTAAGACTAGAATTTAACGTCGCACTCTGAAAGCGTGGTGACGCATGAATAACATCTGGTGTCATGTGGTTGTTACGTTGACACGATTGTATGACAACACCAAGCTGCGTTATTGTCACCACCATGTGACAATATGACCAGGCCGTATATGTGAGAGTTAAGGTTTACATTAATCTGTTGAAAGCTTCGCTGATCAAACACCTGCAATGCTAAGTACATATGATGAAACTTCAAGAACCCCACTTCATGAGTAGCTTGTGCATCCTTTACTATAGTATGAAACAAAGCATTCTAGCACGTGGACTTCATCACCCTCGAGTTCATTGACGGATGTGTTTTACATGAATGTACCAGTCTGGCGGCGTTGAACTGCTGTTAATGCACTGATGTATAATTGAAGTTTTTGCGCACACACACAAGGACACAGAAGAAGGGAACACAAGGACCAGCGCAGTTACTAACAACTGATTTTTATTCAGTAAGAAAACAGAATATATACGCTTACTTGCACCCCATGATCACCGCGCATGAGCAAAAACGGCATCGTACAATCTTAAAAACCAAATATCACATGTTGTTCAGCAATTCAATTTCTTTTTCACGCTGGTCCTTGTGTTCCCTTCTTCTGTGTCCTTGTGTGTGTGCGCAAAAACTTCAATTATGCAGCAGTACCAACTAGCCCGTCTTTCCGTATTATCACTGATGTATGTTGTCTTTACGAACATTGTTCTGTTCTTTTTGTCTTAGTAATGTGTGACAATCTTATCTCTAAAGCAGCACTTTCATTACCTTTGCAATATTTACTTGCATCTAACCATGTCTGAATTTATGCTGAGAAATAGATAATTGAACTAAACAAAGTAATTAAACAAAGTTGTCTTAGAACACACCATGGTATGATCTTGGAGAACGCTCTGTTCTAGTATTCGTCACCAACATACTTCATTTTACAACTTTTCTACCCATTAAAAAAGAACCATTTGCAAAAAAAAAAAAAAACCACTTGCTGCAGGCCTTACCTGTTTGACAAATGTGCCTATTTGAGAAAGCAGCAATTTGAAGGTGAAAGAAGATTTTAGGAGCCAGCATGGTAATGATGGGTAGTACACGGATTTCTCTAAGCTTCATTTTCTTTTTTTGGCTCCGTGTGGCCAGCAGTGACTTTGTAGCAAGATGAAGTCTAGTGAATTTTCAGCAATCCCAGTGCTGAGCAACTTGAATCAGCTCGCAAGGTTCGTGGTGTGCCATTAAATCAATCCAATTTAAAAGCTCTAACATACAGTAAATAAACCCACAAGTTCATCAAAGCTGCGGGTGTGAAGGCGGGGCAAATCCATGCACCATCCATTGTTTCCATGGTGGTTGAACAATTGCGGTGCCCCAGACTCCTCTAGTAAACACTATTCAAAACTTTATGGTAACTATCAAGGCATCGAGTTATCCAGTGTTCACTGCTTCAGGTGTTATAAACCACGGGGTTTCCAAAATTAATGGAGTAGCGCTGTGTCTTGCGGAGCTACTGTAGCACGCGATTCTGTTGCTAGGCAAACATCATGCTATAGCTCTCGAGCTCTTTGCCTCTGGTTGCTTATCCCAGGAAGCTTTTCTTGGGGTGCAGTGATTCTTCTTTGTTTTGTTTTTGTGACAACAATATCGTGCACCTGTAGTTTGTTGTAGTGACTGCTTTGAGTGAACTGTGAGTGGGTCTTTATTTTTTATTGTGGTTAGAATAGCACTATGACTATTTATAACAACCTTAGAGTGAAAGTCTGGGTAGCTTCTGAGCTGTTCTTTGAAAGCACGATCTTTGTTTGCTTGACCAGTTGTTCGCTCCTTTCTTGAAATTTGTGACAGAAATTTCTGAACGACCGTCCTAATCCACAAATCTACTGCTAAGAAGCTTGCTGAACCAGCTCCAAGCTATACTAAAGTTATTTACCTGTTTAGCGGTCTGTGGTCAATCTTTATGCATAAGTGGCAAAAATTTTTCCACATTTTTGTCCACTCGCGAAGCTGGTGGACGCCCAGAACGAGGTTTCTCGCGAAGCGACATTTTCCCCTTTTTTGAAGAGAGAAAATCACTCGAACCATTGTTTTTCCTGTCACGTCATCCTCTTTTTTTTAATATCACATTATCACTATAGTTGCTCAGTAATGTTGCTTGAGCTCTGAACAAAATCTCTCAGCCACCCTCCGCTCACTTCTGTCAGCCATGACAAAAAAAAAAAAAAAAACGCCGAGTAGACTGAATTGTTGTAACGGAAAAAAAATCTCTGTACCTCGAGAAAAGCTACCTGGGTGAATTCATTAGGTGCAATGTTTTCTTCCGAAGTTCACCGACTAACCGATGAGTACATCCCCACGAAATTCATTACGACTCACGCACAATGCCCATGGTACAACCCAAGCATCAAACGCCTATCAAACAAAAAGAAACGTCTATATCGTGCTGCTAAACTTTCTCAGACTAATGCAAAATGGGCTGCCTACAAAGAAGCTTCTGATAGCTATGTCACAGCTCTAAATAACGCTAAAGAAAATTTCATGTCGAATGTATTACCTTCCATGCTAAAATCAAATGTGAAACAATTTTGGCGCACTATTAACCCGACGTCTAATGATTCCATCTCTCTCCTAGATATGTATGGTGATTATATTTCTGAAAGTGAATGTGCTGGTGTCCTTAATGAAACATTTGTAAACAACTTTTCGCATAAATCCAACAGCTCTTTGCCACACCTACCTTACTGCAATTACGTCCAAATGCCACCAGTGAACATGGACGCTCCTGGTATTGCCGCCCTTATAAGCAATTTGAAGTTTCATTCTTCACCTGGTTATGACAGCGTTGACGCTAAATTTTTGAAAAATACATCTGCAACTAGCTCAATCATCTTGGCAAAAATTTTTCAGCAATCACTTGATCAATCTTCGCTACCTCTTCAATGGAAAATCGGGAAGGTGGTTCTTATCTATAAATCCGGAAATAAATGTTCTCCTACTAACTATTGCCCCATTTCCCTTACTAGTACCTGCTGCAAGCTTCTAGAACATGTATTATCCACAAATCTTGTAAATTTCCTCCAATCAAACTCCTTTTTCACTCCTGCGCAACACGGGTTTCGTAAAACATACTCCTGTGAAACACAGCTCATAACCTTCACTGAAAAACTGCACACTATCCTGGACAGTTCGTCTCAAGCAGACTGCATTTATTTAGATTTTTCTAAAGCATTCGATAAGGTCTGTCATCAACTTCTACTTCACAAACTAAGTAACTCAACCTTGATAGAAACGTGCTACAATGGATTGAATCATTCCTTACCCGCCGCACCCAATTTGTTCATGCTAATGGCTTTAAGTCTTCTTTCAGCGAAGTGCGCTCTGGGGTCCCACAAGGATCCGTCCTAGGGCCCCTTCTATTTCTTATCTATATTAATGACCTCCCTTCAAAATTGTGCTCTAATATTCATTTGTTTGCAGACGACTGTGTGATATTTCGTACGATTAATAATAGTGACGACATTAGAATCCTTCAGCCTGATCTAACCGCTGTTTCTAACTGGTGCCAAACTTGGCTGATGGAATTAAACATTAACAAATGTAAGGTTATGCACGTATCCCGCAACCCCAAACATCATTCAACTTATTACCTAAACAACATAGCTTTAGAACTAGTTACATCATATAAGTACCTTGGAGTGCACATTACAACTAACCTCAGCTGGTCAACACATATTGAACATATCATCAACAACGCTAACAGCATGTTAGGGTACTTACGCCGCAATTTTTCTAGAGCCCCATCGTCACTAAAATTATCGCTTTACAAATCCTTAATACGCCCCAAGTTAGAGTACGCAGCATCAGTATGGGATCCAAGCCAAGAAAATCTAATCGCTTCTCTCGAGCTTGTTCAAAATAATTCCGCTCGCTTTATCCTGTCAAACTATAACCGTACTGCCAGCATATCTTCAATGAAAAGCAGCCTTTCCCTTCCCTCTTTATCATCACGCAGGAAACTTTTTCGGTTAACCATGCTGCATAAAATATATTATCATTCCTCCCTGCGCAACGAACTCTTACCCCAACCACTATACATTTCCCATCGCATTGACCACCGTCACAAGGTTGGCATTAACTATTATCATACAAAATCTGCCACTCAGTCATTCTTGCCCCGTTCATCCCGTGAATGGAACCACCTTCCCGCTGAAATTGCGGGTATCACCGATAACCAACTGTTCCGTGCTGCCTTAGCCAATATTGTATATGCAGAAATATCTAATGTTTAATCTGTGTTTGTGTGACCACATTGTTGCGATAATACTAATTTGTTTTGTCTTTCCTTTTCCTTTTTTATGTACACAACGTTTTTGTAACCATGCTACCTCATGTTATACCTTTGTTCTGTACCACTCCCCTCTGTAATGCCTCTGGCCCTGAGGGTATAATAAAAAAAATAAAAAATAAAAAAATGAACTTGAGAGGTGCAGCACGACGTTCGCCTACCGGGAGAATAATGTACTATGGTGGCACCAACCAATAGTGCCAGTCTGGTTACTTCTGCGTATCCCTCGTATATAGCCTCTACTGAAGCTTGGACGGTGTATGTGAGGTCCTTTGCATAACTGAACATGGCCGACCAATGCAAGGGGGTTGCATAGATGGTTTGTGATTGTTCTTATTTCTTTTGTTGACAGCTTTTTGATTGGACTTTTATTTATGGTTTGCTGCGCTTCCTGTACGTATAACTTCAAAATGCTTACACCTGAGTATGCAGCACGTGGTGGTGTTGGAGTAGTGCTTAATTTGCTTCTGTGGGGTATCCGTCTTTGTAGATTAGCAACAAAAACGTTGCAATGCTACGCTTGATGACATGGTTTCAATACTTTGCAATGCCTCCACTTGACGAAGGGAATAAGCATGAACACCTGTGTACCTAAATCTGTGTGCACTGTTTGATTAAGAGCCCTCTGCTGCAGTCTATTTCGAAATCTTTCTGTGGTAAGGTGATAGCTCGACATTAAAAAAAAAATTTAGGACGTCTTCTATTTCTGTCTCTCTATTCTTCCTTCAAAGACTAGCCCACATTGCCCGAAGGCATTACAGCAGGAGGTTATAGTAATGACATGAACATTTCATTTTCACAGCAGACTTGAATTTCAAATAACTCATTCCACTCTTTAATGGTTCAAACAAAAAATGATTCTACGAATAGGTTCATCCTGATACATGGTCAGGTCTAGATTAATGGTAATAAAGTTCTTTAAGGTACTCTTCTTTCTTAATTCCTGCTCTGTCGTTGTATATCTCAAAAAAGAACTTCAATCGCAGTTTTTGCTGATGCGAAGAAACCACTTTCAACCCAAGTTCGTCTTTCATTTGAGTGCACCTCTTCCTTCTCTTGTACCTTCCCAAGAAGAACCTGGCTGCACGATTTTTATTTCTCTCAATTTCATCAATCTGACCTGCAAATCATCCCATACAGCACAAGCATAGTCTAGTGTATGTTGAATAAGAACGGGAAACGCCGACCACTAGAAAATAAAAATGTACTGAGACGTTTCAACACCCAGAACAGAAGCCTTTTTCGCAATCTTGGATTGCAAACAAGGCTCTTGTTCTGGGTGCCGAAACGTCTTGGTACATTTTTATTCTCTTCTGGTTGACATCTTCGTCTTCTTACTCAATGATTCTTCCCGACCAGCCGAGTGTCCGTCGAAGCCTTGATTTCATCTCCTATAGGTTGCACACATGTTAATTAGGCTGTCTTTTTATGTTGACTTATGTCACATCATGCAATGTTCCCTCTTTTTTTCCTCCATGCAGGAATGGGACTTTTATATGTGTGCTTGGCTGCACAACACTTCTGTAGCACCAGGCACTGACTGTCATGAGCAAACAATGAAATATGACAATGTGACGACCCTGATGAAAGATGAGATTGCCATATTCAAAACGCTTGGCATACTGCTCCATTTGTCTCGAATTAGCAGCCTCCTTCTGTTTGTTTTTTCAAATCTTTAAGGATTGAGCGTGGAGCCATCTAAAAAAGACAAGCCAGGTTTTCGTGGCATCAACGTTCGTTCTCGGCCCGTCTACCTTACTTCGGCCGACCTGGACGAACTGGACATGCTGTCTTCTGTGCCGGTTGTCAGCGCTGGCGATTCCAGGCTTTCGGAGACAGGTAGGCAAGTTTGTCAACAGAAGGCATGCAGGCTGTTATTTTACTTCTGAGTGAAGATACTAGACCCTGAGGAGGCACTGTGAGTTGTGGGTAAATTTTGCATCTTAACATGAAGGAAAATAATCAGATTAAAAAGAGGTAAACTGCAGTAGCATTGTGTCACTCATTAGCAGGAAATAATGTCTATACTATGACTGTGTAGTAGACTTCTTTATAAGAGCTGTTCGTCTTGGCAAAAAAATGCCCACAAAGCTTGCAATAAATATTGTTCATAGTGCACACAAGTACCCAAAACACAAGTCAAGCAACACTGGAAACCGAAAGGCAGGTGTGAAAATGCATTTTGCTGACTTTGCAGCACAAAAATAAAAATAATTGCTGCTTACCACTGCTTCAAAGTTTGATATGCTGGCACCAAAACTGACGTCACACATATTTGTTTCAAAATTCTTCAGTGCCTTCACGATTCTTTTGGTTTAACATAAGGCTGAAGCAATGTATGTAACAGCAACAAATCAGAATGTTACACAAAGTAAGGCTAACAGCTTCGAACTCATGTAACTTTATTAAACACTAGTGTAAGAGAATGCAGCTGCTTCGATGAGTAAATCAGTTTTCATGTTGTCTGTTATCTCAATGCAAAGTAGTGAGTGTGCAACACATGAAAAGGTATACGAACTGTCTTTTGAGATAGTGGGCATGCCAGCGCCGTTTTGCCAGTGCCAGTGCCAGCACAAGGGCTTGAGGAGCCATGGACAGCAGGCCTCGAACGTAGGTGGTGTTATCTCGCATGCCTTTCAGGCATCCCTACTTCTCGTGAGCGGTTTACTTGTGCGTAGAACATGCATTGTACTCAGCAGTGCTATGGAATGGACTTTACACAGAACTTGATGGCGACCAAAAACCCGCTGAGAGTGTCCATATAATTGGCGATAAAATGCACCAATGCATTCTTTATTTCTTTTCTTTATTCAATGATTACCCTGCTTAGTCTGACAGCGCTGCAGCAAGGTGGTTACAATGTCGAAACAAACACATCTTCATTAAAACAGTGCAGTTTCTTGTGCGTTTAAGCTTTTCAGGCTCCTAAAGCATTCCTTTTATGATTTTCAACCATGAGAGGCACTTTTGGGGCTTCTTAAACTGCCTATATAATGCCCCACCGCGGTGGTCTATTGGTTAAGGTACTCGGCTGCTTACCTGCAGGTCGTGGGATTGAATCCCGGCTGCGGTGGCTGCATTTTGGATGGCGGCGAAAATGCTGTAGGCCCGTGTTCTCAGATTTGGGTGCACGTTAAAGAACCCCATGTGGTCGAAATTTCCGGAGCTCTACACTACGGCGTTTCTCATATCCACCACCATATCAATTTTAGATTTGATTGATGTGGTGGTTTTGGGACGTTAAAACCCCACATATCAATCAAATCAGTTATCTATATAATTCCAACTTTGCAGGTTTTCATGTCATTCTGGCATACTTATCGATCCCTCTATAAACATTATTTTTGTACATTTAAAATGAGATGCAGTGAAAAGACTAATGCATTAAACAAAATGCATTAAATGTGGAGACAAGAATGATGTTTTCTTTTTAATTTTCACCCTCATCTTCTAAGGACATTTCCATTTTGAAGAATCAACCTGTCCAGATAAGTGTAGCATTGCCATAACAAACACAACAAAGCACTCGTAGAAGAATAAGACAGTGCATGAAATGGAGAAAATTCGGAAAATGGAGAAATCTCATGTACCTAGGGAGCCGATGTTATGTAAAGCACGCGTATGGAAAGTAGCTGTGTTGTCATTTTTGTATTGAAACTTCATGAAATGGCGCTAAGGATAAGTACAAATGCACGCACACAGACCTACCTTAAGCGGCCGCATATATTTTATGGCTAGTTGTTTACAATTGGGTAACGACGCCAACATCACTATACATATTAGCAACACCAGGAGTGGTAACCTGATATGAAATGCTTGCGCTCGTGAGGATGGGAGCCCTGGACACTGCTACATGAATCAACTTCAGCAGATGGCACCTAACTACAATTGGGGTTAGTTAACCTGACATGACGGCTGTACCATAGGAATACATATGTACTGTTTATAAGATTGGATAGCCAGTACTGCGGCCATCATAGATGTTTCACGAATGTTAGGGTCTACTTGAAAAGTACTTCTGAGACTTGATGTGGCTCTGTGGTAGAATACTTTGTAGCCACGCAGAATGCTGGCGATCGATTCTTGTTGGGACTTTGAAATGTATTCTTTGCATTCGTCGAGACAATGCTGCCAATGCCAGCTTTTCCTTGACACCACTCACACGTTAAAATTGCCCATGTCTGCTTTCGCCGTTCCAGGGTTGGTATAAACTGCCAAACACCTGTGGCACATACCTGCCCGCATGTATGTGCCACTGTCTGGTGGAAAGGGTTTGTTGACATACGCGACGGAATTGTGAAATTATTCATGTCATGACCAGCGAGTCATATTCGTCTCACCATCTTACCCTCCCTTTTTTATTTTGGTGTACCCCAAGTTAAAGTAATGATCATGAGAGCACCTAGACTAGCAGTTAGACATAAACTCATTGCGTAGACAAAGAAATGCTTCACATTTAAAGGGTATCTGAGGAGGAAATCATGCTAGGCCATCACGGCACCACAAGGCGGTTTGATAGCATCACAGAGAAAATGCGGTTAATGGTGTAGCATGGCAGATGATGCTTCCAGTGTGTTGCTATTGCCTACATGCTCTTTTGGGTACATAATGCATAAAAATCACGATGACATCTCGCAGCTCTCATAATCATATGGTGGTTCTGGGACGTTAAACCCCGCATATCAATCAAATAGATCACGATAACATCTCATATATTGTGTATTTGCCCGATTTCCATAATTAACATCAAAAATAAATGTAACAGACGTTTTAGCTGCAGTTACTAAAAGATAGTTACCTATTTATAGGCTGTGCAGCACTTGGTGCGCGCTACTAGTAGGTGGTTTCTGAGCAGATGATGTCTGCCGCATCCACAGGACCCTTGCCTGAGTCGCACACGCGCAAGGGTTCTGTGCAGGAGGGCCTTGAATTTTGCAGTCTGCAGGCTTTTTGTCTCTATCTGGAGCTCTCGCAGGCTTCCTTGAGTGCATTCCTTGAGCAAGCCTGTTCTGCTGAATCTCTGCAGACGCTGTTCAAGCCTCAACACAGGCGAGCACTTCCCTGGATTTTAGTCAGTGCTTCTAAGTGATGGCATTCAAATATGTTGAACAGCTCCTATGGCTATGCATTTTGCAAGAAGGTAATTACCTTCTAAGTGACCCAATCAGTTTCGAAGGGTAGGCTCGTGAAACACCAAGAAAAGCTAGAGAGCTCATGACTCCTGGCTATGCTTGCAAGAAGCACCTATCGAAGAGTAACATAGAGGATGGTTTTACGGCAAGCTTGAAAATTGTTTTTCTGGAATCAGAAATACCATATTGACTTTTAGAATTTCGGTACTTTTTGTTCACAATTTTGAAGCTCCAGAAAGGGAGGTGCACAAAATACATGATTTCATGAATGCATCCCAAAGAATATAATTCAGCGTTGGTAGATGATATATTTTCTTGGGTAATCATGCTTTTGGCATGCTAGGATGGACTAGACACACCACAGGCACAGGTCTGAGTACGTCAGAAGGACTGTTACCTAAAAATATGTGCAGTACGTACTAGCAGTTTGAAATGCTACATGAAATTATATTAGTATAATGACTTGTATGCACATTTGCTTGAGATGATCATTTCATTTCCTAACGCATCTGGTCTACAAAGGTACCATATTTACACAATTGTAGGTGAACCCATTTTCTCATAATTCGAAATATGAAGTTGGGGCTCGACCAATAATCAAAAACTAGTTTCGGTTGTGAAGTTTTTCTCGAAAGAATACCTCTGTCTTCCCGCAAAGCGAGCTTTTCTGCACAGATTTCAAGCACTGTCATGAAGCCACCTTGGCACACTAAAATTCAATTGAGTTTTTTTTTTTTTCGGAGATATTATAAATATTTTTAATGAGATGTGCTTGTTCTTCTTTTATTTTCTTTGCTGTGTGATTTTAGGGGGGTCATCCTACATTAGAGTCAGCTTACTTTCATATGAATACGGTAATGTTGGCCCTTATCTATGTGTTTGAGTCAAAATTACCTAGATATCACCTGAAATGAGAACATGGTGGAAACAATATGATGTGCGTCACTTAGCCCTGATTTGTGTGAACATATGTGAGACACAAGAAAAGGTTTAAAAGTACACTAATATCAATCATAATTGTGTCAGAACAATGTAAGACAGCAACAAGCACAAACCCTTTATGGTGACTTCAATGCAAACATTATAGATTTTAGGAACTAGCTGCACCCTCTTGTCATGATTCACTTCGAGGAGATGCATGTTTTTTTTTTTTTTGCACATTTTCTCGCTAGCCAAGCATTTTTTTGTGGCTAGCGCGGTAATGTTGCAATTGGAAAAGAGGTAATACCACAGTCACATGGAGATGTTCATATCATTAGGTTCAATTGTCATTTGGTGCAACAAATGCCATTCGATCTGTGGTGGTGCTGCACATGAAAAAGTTATGTCATTCGTTCGTGATATCAGTGTCAATAATTCAGAAAGAAAATCGCTGGAAAATTTGTGAAGGCTAACTGTAGAGTAGTAAAAAAGAGAAGCTGTGAAAGATCTGTGGGAAGTTGCTTTGATAAATAAAGAAGCATAGGAATTTTATGTCTTAGAATATATGGCCACCATAAACTGAGATGATCCACTTATCCGGTAGCTGCAGAAGATAGAATGAATTCAAACAAACAAAGCTGACATGGCAGAGACACTGAACGATGACTTCAAGCTGCAGTAAGTAATGCATTTAGTCGCTTTGTTATTGGCAGTGCGAAAAATGCACATAGGCCAGAAGACTTGATCCGTGAGATTAGAAAAAAAAAAATACTCTCCTTGATGCTACCACTAGAGATACACGGCCTTCCTTACACTTGACTTCGTGAAATTGAAATATTCCTTTAAAAAGAAGCAATAATAGGGTGTTTCCATGTATGCGGGTCAAATTAAGAATGCTGAATGCCATGTTTTAAGTACTGCTTGGGTTGGAGAGTATACATTCAATTCGACTGCGGTGGTGAATGTTTCTTGAACTCATTCAATTGCCTAAGTAATTTGATTCTAATGAAACTATATATCTCTCTGAAACAACCACTAAGCGTCATCAGATGTGAATGTCATTCCGTTCAAATGACATTAAAACATCCAGTGGGCCAGGGGTATCATTCACTAATGTGCGGAAAATATTTTGCTCTGTCCTGTTTCATTGAGAGCTTTAAGCATGCATACCCTGAAACTCAGTTACATTGAAAAGCATGATTTTCTAGAAGTTGTTCAATATATCATATATTTTGATAGATAGCTGTACCTTCTTTTAATGAATTTCAGCATCTAGATTGTTAAACAGGAAATTGTGAAGTCGGGCGGATATGCTGCAACAGAAGTAATTCAATGCTGTGCATTATGCATAATGTGCATTAAAAGCATAGTATCCAGCATCCTCCGAACTTTGTGGCCATAGAGAAGGTGAAGTAATGTGAATTTCATTGATCCCCCCACCCTCCCGAACGACTGTTTTGTAAGTGAACATCGCGTAAGGCATATCCAATTCCATGCTTTGTGTTGGACATTGATGTACGTGGAGATCATCTTGGTGACTGTGTTATTTAAGTTGCTCGATGAGTCCGTTGCTCTGAAAAGGGTAAGCGGTCACTTTTCAATGCCTAGTGTTGCTTTGTCAGGAAACCTCATCCAATAAGCTGTGCAGTGAACGCTGTCTCTTGGTGTGTTACTGTGCAGAGAGCACCATGACGCAGTACGTTGTGGCACATAAAAGGGGCTGTCTATAGCACATCCTTTTTCTACGGAGAACTTTATATAGGAGAAAGGGGGTGTCGTTTGAATAACAGATCATTAGGCATCATTGAGAGTACAGCCGTGCGGTGACTTGTCATTATACTGCAAAGAGTATGGCTGCGCATCAGTATATTTTAGTAATAAGGTACTCTGAAGATTACACGACAGGGTGGCAAGAGAGACTGAAGCACTTTTTGTAATCAAGACTAGCAAAACATGTTGTACTGCCATCCATTACATTGCATAGCCTTAAGATTCATTACTTGAGAGTGCACCAGTGACTGGTGTTTACAAGTTTTCTTGTATGTTTGTTGAATTGTGTAGTGTTCTGCGAGTATGTGTCTTTGTTACCTCAGCAAATCGCCAGTTGATGGTTCGTGCTGTCTGTGTTCCAAATTTAAACGGCGTAATGCGGGCAGAGAACAGCATGCATGCACACTCTATGTTCTTCTCTGTCAGCGTTCAGTCACACCGTGCAAACCCAGCTCGATAAACCAACTAGCTCGGCAACGCACTGTGTTCTGCTGCCGTATTCGTTAAATGGGTGCACTTTTGTTCAAGAATGGAGGTCGAACTTACTCAGAAAAGCCTCTTTCTTAATTTTCAGGAGCTGGCATCCTACATATAACACCTCATATTCAACCTTGTGGCACCAGGCCTGCTATTTTAAGGCCCCTGCTACGCTATGGAGTGTGAACAAAAGGATCTCAGGGGCTGCATACCTAAGGGCTAGATATTTACATGCTTACAGCCACGTGAAGTAACTGTGAACAGAAAGACAAGCACACTTGAAAGCCAAAAAAAACGTCATAATGAAAACTAACAAACAATGTTGCCCTTAGAAACGATCTCTTATATTTTCATTTTTTTCCTTTAAAAAGGTTATATACCATTCATAATTGGGCTTTGCATTCGCATGTACAGGTATCCCTCTGGCTTCAACAGAGGGGTCTGAGCTGTCTCTGGGGCCCGGAACAGGATCCCCGGCTGAAGCTCTGCGGCACAAGTGTCGCTTCTGTCCATACGCATCGCGGCACCGAGGCAGCCTGGTGCTGCACGAGCGAGTGCACACGGGCGAGCGGCCCTTTCGGTGTCACCTCTGCAGCCGCGGGTTCGCGCACCGCTCGCACGTGGTGCGCCACATTCGCACACACACTGGAGAGCGACCCTTCCGATGCCCGCTATGCCCGGCTGCATTCTCGCAACGCAGCAACGTTAAGGTTCACTTGCGCTCGCACGGCTTGCACGTCACCAGCAACTGATCAGCCGACGCCAACGGTACTGAGCGACAGGCAACCACACTCCACCTTTGACCAATTGAAGAATACACACCACAGTGTCTGTACGGGCACGCAGGTTTATTTTTTTGGGACATCTCGGTTATTGCTTGTGTACAGTGCTTATGAGTGAAATGCAACTTTAAAACATTTAGTATAACAAATAGTAGCCGTAATTTCTCAAGAAGGCAGTGTCATGATGCTACAAATTTTGGCCGCTAGAGGTAATGTTGACTCTCATGTAAGTGCTAGAGTTGGAATCACGCCAATATGACGCAAAATTAAGACTTGGAATGTAAGTAGGTGCATTACATTGCCTTAAATATTGACTTTCACTTTGTCAGTGCTGCAAGTGCGTTGAATTCTTCAGGAAGCTTAATAAAGGATGAAATTATCTGACAGCAGTCGTTTGAGTACTTGTTCTTGATTCATATTGCTGGGCTGTATGAAAAAATAAAAATGTTTAACAAATTATTAGCATGAGAAATGTAAAAAAGAATGATGTCCAAAAAAAGAAATAGGATGTCGTGTGTAAAACTGATGATAAATACTTGAACTAATATTACATGAACAACTGAAAAAGTGTATATTTAATGGCTCGTTTTCTCTGTTTGACTCAATATTAATGATAACTAACAGGCAATGCTGCCAAGAAAGTATAGGGGATATAATTGGATGTAATTGTAATGTAGTTGTGAAGAAAGAAAAGTGAACAAAAAGATCACTTGCCGTGGGCAGGGATCAAACCTGCGACCTTTAAATAACTCGTTTGGTGCTCTACCAACCGAGCTACCACAACATAAGTCATGGCCGTTTATAACCATGGTGGAGAGTGTGGAACACTCTTTATCGGCCTGTTTGGCGTCACGTAGTACTTGATCTTATTACGAGTTGGTAGCTGACCAGTAATCCCTTGCATACCACCTAAAGGCATCAAGTCTGCTAGAATGAGACCCTCGCTATGAATGAAGGAAAAGAGGGTATATTTAAGGGCTCATTTTGTTTGTTAGAGATACAATATTAATGAGAACTGGCAGACAATGATGCCAAGGAAAGTAGGGCATCGGACGCATTGTTCGAACGTCGCAGGTTTAGTCCCTTCCCACGGCAAGCTTTCTTTGTGTCCACTTTTTTTCGTCACAATTGCATTACAACTACTTCCAATAATATCCCTTATACTTTCCTAGGCATCATTTACTGTTAGTTCTCGTTAGTATTGCGATGAACAAATAGTACTGGACAAAAGGCAATACAAAGGGGAGAAAAATGCCATGAGTTTATGCAATAGATGTTATGTTGACACAATGATTGACTCAAACAAAAAAAGCATGCTTTTATTTTGTACGCATTGTCGTTTATTATCTGGAAAGAGGAACTGTGGTAAATGAAAGGCCACGAATTGTGCATAAAAAGGTCTTATATGTCTTTGTGACACTGAATCGATCCTCATGTAGTTGCGAATTATCGAACAGTGACGAGATGCACATGCAATGCAACTGCCGAGCCAGACCGACAGGCTAACATTTCCTGTAGCGCACCAGCCATAATTCACTTAAATGCTGTCAAATATTCATACCACACGTAACAAATCCTAAAATGTTGTGACTGTAATTCTGAAAGATACCTATGGTAAAAGCCTTAAAATTAAGCCTGTAATATTCACATTGTAATTAGCTTAGACATCCTGCATTTTCTACAGCACGAAAAAAAGGCGGCTCACCTCTTCTAATGGGAGCATTGTTTGCAATCAAAACGAGGACATATGATACAGTGTTTACGCAGACTTCAATGTGTGACACAAGCAGCGGGTGTAAATAAGAGGAAAGGTTCAGTGTACCATCGTCCGTTTGTATCGAAATGGATTCCAAGTGATCTCTTGAAGACAGATCTTTTTTTTTGTTCTTAAATTGCGGAATTACGCAACGCGATTTGATCAAGCTTTCTACATTCTTTGCCTAACCATTTAAAGACATTCTTGTCTTAACGTCATTGGCATCGGGAGAGTAGCCAGAAGTCTTGTTTTCGGAGGGGGGTTTAACCATACTTTATATATGTTCGTACATGTGTTTGTGTGTGTGCTTGTACATATACGCAAGCGAAATAGAAAATTTCAAAGGGTTTTGAGCCCGCCCCTCCCACCTATGCACTCCCTACCCCCCCATTTTGGATATGCCCATGACTGACACACTGTTTTATCTGCTGTTCAAAATTTCCCATCTAGCCAATTCAGATGCAGCACTTGATACTTAAGTCCAACCCTGTTATAATGATCCCAAAATAACCATCTATTGGTTATAATGACCCTGTTTCGGCGCACTTACGATTTTCCTATGCTATTCTTCAAAACTGAGTCCACATATAGCGAACGTAACAATGAACACTTCCGACACGGTCGTGGTAAAAATATGGAGCATACGAAGCGAGAAAAAAATGTTAAGAAAGGCACTCTAAAGCATATAGGTGCACGCTCACGTGTGCCCCGCTGCTGTTTATATGCGACGAAGATATCGTAGACCGCGGCGAGCACCGCACACAGATTTCAGGCATGGTGAGCGAGGTCAATGATTTTCCATACGTTTCTTCATCAGCAAAAGCGAAGTGAGGGAAAAAAACACGAAAAAAAAAATAGGAGACAGCACAAAGACTTGCGGTCAGCTTTCGCATGGCAAAATTTTCTGACATCGCTCTCGGCATCTACGACTGGCGATGATTAATTAACAATGCTTTCGAATGCAAGAAACCATGTATGTGAAAAGTAGTAACTTTTGTCGCACATAAGTTATCTGCGACGCTCAACTCTCCGACATCACAATGTGCCGCAAAAGGTTTTTCACCTTTCGGTAACGGCAGAGAGTGGTCGATTTGTGATGACTTCCGCGCGGTTTCAGCAGTGCCTCAGCGGATAAGCATCGGAAAAGTGCGATGGCAAGGTGGCCGGTGGCGATGAACGACTCATCGCCGGCAACCTTATCAACAGTTACCTCAACTGCAGGCACAGTGATGACCCCTGCGCCGCCGTCAACACCAGTCGTGTCCCGGCAGCCTAAAGAACTGACGATTTCGACGTCAAGCCGAGCTATCCGAAGTGCAAGCATGACCAGCTCAAAGACCTGCTCTTGCGATTCCGTGATTGCTCCTCGTCATCGTCAAAGGTTCGACAGACCCCGCTCGCGAAACATCGCATCAAAACAGAAGTGTCCAACTTATCTGTCAGAGCCCATACAGAGTTTCAAAATGCGAACGTGAGGTCGTGAAGAAGCAAGTCGACGAAATGCTACGCGACGTCATTCGGCCATTTAAGAGTTCGTAGGCAGACGACGCCCCCGATTGACTCCACAACACAAAGTACTCTTCATTGATGGGCCTCAAGACCGGCTACTAGCAAACTGAAGTCAACAGAAGTGACTGAGAAAAGACTGCCTTTATAACACTAAACGGCCTGTGTGTTCAAGGTCATGCCCCTTGTTGCTCAGCTCCTGCTTATTTCCAAGGTGCTACGGATACTGTGGTGTTCTATTAGTTCCGGTTTCGATTGTCATGTGCCACCTCGCGTTGTGGCGATGTGTTTATATGTGTGAATAAGGAGTTGGTGACGACCGCTCAGACGAGGCAGTCCCTTCGGCACTCTGCGCTCCGTTGTGTGGTGGCCTTCTGGCCTGCCCGCTGGCAGCGTTGGCGGGCTTTGGTTCTACGGTTCTTCTTCTCTTCGTCAGTGCCGGGGCTGCCAAGACACAACAGAAAAGATATAATGTTGGCCAACACTGTATCCACATTTTCAAGCCAGGCTAGAAGTGACCGACGTGCCTTGTGTATTTGCATGACGTCCTTGCAGTGGCGCAGCCAGGGGGTGCCCCCCCCTTCCCCTGAAATTGTTTTCACCTTGGCATACAGCATGAAAAATGACCATTTTAAGGTGGTCCACCCCCTCTGAGAAATGCTTGTGCCTACGCTCCTGCATCATCGTGTTTGCTTCAAACCTGTACGAACACCTCCAGCCCCTTGAAGGGCAGATTTGCATGAATTTGACACAGCGGGGACAGCACAGCAACTCAGAAGTGAAGGGGGAATGCATTTTACAATTAGACAGCATTCTGAGTATTGACGAAGATTTCAAAAATGAGCATTACAGTCTTCAGTGCTAAATCTACTTCAGTAAGAAGAGGAATAGTTCATAACCACAGTGATAGTAAAATGATTACTGTAGCTCTTACGGTTTCGGGGAAAAGGTACATAAACTTCGCCTAAAATACACAGCGGCTATAGGGCTTACCCTGTTCCCACAAGGAAATAGGCAAAGTAACATTTGTGCCTTTTGTAGTGGGTGACTGGCTTTAAACTATGCAGTCATTATGATAATCGCACATTTTGACACCCAATGACAATGTACTCTTGTATCACGCATCATTACTGCAATATTTCATGTTGCATTGTGAAGCATGTATACAGGATGTGTGTGTATGTCATAACTTCCACTGCATTCACAAGCAGAGAAGTTATTTTCACTGTATTCACGAGGAGACGCGGGGCTGTGTGGTAGAATGTCCACTTGCGATGCAAACGGCCCGGATTCGATCCCCACTGGAACCAAAATTTATTATTTCTTTGAATTCGCATTTTCTCAATTTTTAAATATCGCACAGGATCACGATTTTTCGCACACAACCGACCCCGATGCCAGAATTTCTGCGAAAAGAGCTCTTCAACGCTATCGCGTTAAAAATGGGTCATGTCAGTACTGAAACCATGAAGCTGCATTAGAAGACTGTCTTGATTGCTTCGCATTTCACCAATGCCAAACAGCTTAAAAGGGTCATAAAACACCGCTCAGTCTTGGTGAGGAAACCAATCCTCCAAATAACACGACACACAAGTGAGCCAAGCCTTGCCGCCAGGCACAGCAAAGAGAGCTTACGAGCACGATGAAGAGCGTCGATTTGCTCAAGCGCCCTTTTTTCATACATAGATCCCTATCTTCGCTCGTTTGAGAGTGGCCAGCAACCAATGTTTTACATTAAAAAGCGAGTAGTATGCTAATAGCTGGAATAAATGATGAGTGTTCTTTGGATCAGATATGCTCCTTGCCACACGGTGCTGGCACTGCACTCCATAGCCTGCTAACATTACATAGTGAGCCACACTCGCCACTACAGGAGAGACTAGGAAAGGAACGTGCGCGTTTCCTAGCGCACGTTCCTGCAACTTCTTTCCTCCATGCCATCCCTCGTGTACCCCTTCAGTCGCAGCGTCCACATATGTGGACGCAACTTGCTTTTGCCACTTTTTCGGACCAGTGTGAAAGAAAGGGCAACACACATTGCGCATAAGATCAGTTGAACATTCTACATAGTCAAAGTGTCTTGATTTAACCCAAATGTGCTGCGTAAATCTGAAGCCGACTATTTTAGCGAAAGCACTGCAATGTTCGGCGGGTCACTCGATGTGCCGCTTCCAGGACCAACTTTACATGTATTATTTTTCTTTGCTTAAAATGAACACAGCCACAAACTAACTGTGCATGCATTTTGGGCTTAAGATTTCCATATTTATGTGTAAAAATCAAACATGACTGAATGCAGAATAATTAAATGTTTAAAAATATGCAAATGAAAAATAATTACCAAAGCTCACCAAAAAACAAATTATTTCTCCATTTGCTTTTGTGGAATGTAATATCAAGCATTTTAGAATGTTGTTGTGCAAAATTTAAACATTTACAGACAGTACATCATAAATCGTGCCTGAAGGGGGAGGACTGAAAGCTAGGCCGGATGTTGACAGTACTTTAACATATTTTAATGCAGCGCATGACTACACGGACACAAAAAAGAGACAAACCGCAACACTCACTCGCAACTGAATTTTTATTGGAAAACATGAGTGAAAAAAAAAAAATGAACACTTCAGCCTTCACACCCATGTGACCACATTAAAGCAAGAAAACAGCCGGTCAGGTGACATTTTGAACAATGGAAAAAAAAAAAAAAAACCTGATACTCCCCCTACCCCCCATGTACTCTCCAAGAGCATAAAAGTTAAGATATTGTTCTATCAAAGAGCCTAAGCTCACTGTCATGTGGGGCTATTGAAGGCACGCTAATGCATTGTTCACTCCCCCTTTTTTTTGGGGGGGGGTATTATATGCTTCAATTATTTCTCATGTGGTTTATCTCTGTGTGTCAATAGAAGTTTAGCTTCATGAAAGGTACGTGTGCAATGGCACTACCCAACACATTGGGGCACATGTGAGTACACGTTTCCTAGCAAAGATTGCCTCTGTTGGAACAACCTAATGTTAATGCATCCATTTGTTTGGCCTATGTATGCACGATCGCTGGAAAACGGCAAGAAACGCACGATACCCTTTCCCACTCTTTACAAAAGGAGTTAGATGTCCGACCCTGCAGCTATCTCTAGATACTTCTGGCACGCTCTTCTTCAGTTTCTGTTCAACAATCCCTCAAACCTCATTCAACTTATTAGGCGACACTTGTGTGCGCATCATCGTGCACCGAGAAAAGAGGAACCAGTCACACATGAGAAATCGGAATAACTCTGCCCGTTCTTGGCATGTGCGAAAATTTTTTGCAGCAATTGATTTGTGAGGTAACAGACAATCATACTGCAATTATTAGTACTTGCTAAAGTGGTTTATAAACCGTTTATGCAATTAAAATTGGTAGTGTACTTCTGGCATCTTCTCATCTTAGTTCCCTGCAATGCACTACATAGCCAACCCTTACAAGAATCTATTTGCTGGATGGATGGAATAGAACAGGAACACACTGGCTTTTCAGACATCTAAGCTGTGCCACCAAGCCTTCATACCCAATCCTGTGCTGTGTTAGAATGAAACTCGTGCTGTTATCCTTCGAAAGAGTTTTAGAGAGAAATATTGAAGCACCAATTTATCATCATCGCAATCAATCTTGGTGCCCATGCTCAATTTAGAATGCCGTATTCCTCAATCACAATGAACTGCGTTACAGGGTACATTCTGCTACATACTGAATGTGGGGACAACCTTCATGCTTAACTTTGTGATTTTTTGAAATTCTATAAAGTATACAATCAAGATGCCACACAACCATGGGCCAGATGGTACCTACTATGATCAGGCATCCGAGGTGTGGCACAGGCCATATTTTCAGGACAGGTCTGGGCCTGCTGCTTGCGCCCAATGTCCACCAGACTTTACATATTAATAATAAAAAAAACAAGCCCAAGCCTGGCCCACCTCGATACCATAAGGGTTTTGTTTTGGGAATATATTATTTCCTATTGATAACACTGAAATAGAACTTTAAGCACAGAACACTTATCACAGTCCCAACACACTTTTCAAGTTATGTGCAAAAAAACAAACTTTTCCACCATTCGCCCTCCACACAAGTGTTCTTGCATTAAAAATGCCACCATACAAAAGTCCCATTCACTGCTTGTTGCATGGATAGCCAAGACTGCTAATACCTTTAACAATATGACAAAACTTGACATGCTTTAGCTACTAGTTTTTTCATAACTTCAGTACATCAGATGTGGCATGACTGGTGCAACTTCCAGTATTGCTTGTAATAGCATCTTGATGAACACACGCTGGCAAGATATATGGGAATGGAAATGATTAGGGGAATGTCAAACACCGTTTGCATGACTGAAGAACATATGGATAACAACCGAGTTTGGTATATGAATGTTCCACTATGTGATGCAGATGACTGCCTTGTTGATTAGATGTCCTCTTCAGGTCCCAAAGTATGAAACGTTCATCCCATTATAATGCACAATGAACACAATGAATGCAGAGATTCAGATGTACAAAAACAGGCAATGGTGGATGCTGCTTCCATGAATGGCTACAATCACCGGCATAGCTACGATTCCAAGTGTTGCCGCATGTGACTTTTTAAATACTGCTTGTTATTGTAACCAAGAGTGCTAGCAGACTTTGCACTTGAAAGGCATATCCCTTATGTGGTTGAGCTTGTGCACATTCAGGTTTGCTAAAGACGAGGTGTTCAAGTGAGCTCTCTTGTGATCCAACAAGGGTGTCCGGTAGGAAGTCGTAAACGGGCAAAGATGGCACTGGTAGAGCACTCTCCCGTGTGTTTGCACATGTGGGCTTTGTAGGAGTGCAGGCGCTTAAATGCCGCTGGACAGGCCTCAGATTAGAAAGGTCTCTGCGCTGTGTGATTGCAAATGACAGGTCAACCTATGAAGCTTAGGAGTGGAGTACTCGCAGCGATGGCACTGAAACAGCTGCTGACCTCCCACTGTACTGGCTGTGACATGTTCTATCCCATTCTCGAACTCGGAGGGCACACTTCCAGCCTGGTAGCAACTTGTCCTTGTCGCTATGCTCTCCACAGTTGCTGCTGATGGAACTGCAATTTGTAAAAGAAAACATGACACGCAACTTCACTTCCATGCAATGTTATCTATATACACGAAATTATGTACAATTGTGCTAGCACTTCATTATATTCCGGCCTTTCATGTTCAATGCCTTATGACTAGTCTGCACAGGCCAATCCACGTCTATGGCTGAGAATTTCCTTCAGTCAATGACATCCTCCTTCTCTCGACACTAGTTCTGTTACTTAAAGCGACACTAAAGTCAAATAAGAATTCACATCAGAGTGAAAGCTCAATGTATGACAACATCTAAGACGGCAACATTATCAACAACAGTACCCTACACACCGATAAATTAAGGTAAATGCACAAGAACCCAAGCACCTCAGTAGGATATTTTCAAAATGATCCCGATGACATCAGACGAACCGCCTACAATCAATCTCTAGTAATCGATCTAACTGCACTAAATGAAAAACCTTCTGTACATCAAGAGATGCAATAAAATGCTGCTTGTAGGTTTTCGTTTGATTCACAGAAAGAAAGAACCGCCAGACGTTACTATGTGGAATGGCGCAAGTGGCTCAAAAATTAAATTTTCGCGTGGCTACACGATGTGGGTTGTGCCATCTAGTTAGGCACAGTTGAAACAAAAAAAACGTCGGCAATCTCGAAGCCAATGGCAGGAAATTGATCAATGGCTGTTGTTGCTGCTGTGGCTCCCACTGCTTTCGGTCTGCTGCTATTAGCCCAGTAAAGCCGGGCAATGTTGTGCACGGCAACAATGACGCGAGTCGGTCCGCTTCTTAAGGCGGGTAATTTGAAGTGCGCTAACCTAAGGCGGACCACTAAAATGCGAGTTTATTTAAGAATAGGCGCTCCCTTGGAACAAAAGCAACAGTATGAGGTTTCTGGGCCACTATTTCAACAATCAACGCTGACTTAATAGTTGCCTTTAGTGTCCCTTTAAGGGGAGGTGCGAGTAAAAAAATACAAGTTTTGTTTTTCTTCAACATTAAACTTTTTTTTTGCTTTCACAAGTTTAATTTCTCTAGCAGAGTGTGACGTTGAGCGAGTTGGTGCATAGCTTAATAAAATATTCATGGCCACAGCTTGACAGCTTGACCACAGCTTGGCCACAGCTTGACCACAGCTTGAAATAAATGACCACGGCTTGACAGAAGTTTTCCGCAGAGAACATAGTGTCCTTAATCAAAAAAACTAACTATTCCTTCTTCTGTTGGACAAGAAAGGAGGCTTTGTCATTTCACCTAGGGAACTCTACCAGGAGAAGGCCTCCTGCATTATTGAACAAACTTTGTCCGTTCATCAGCGAAGTGTCCCAAGGTAAAAAACCGTGCTGTAGCTTTGGGCAGGCAACTAAATTTGGGCCAGCTAGCAAAATCTATTGGCGATGTGCAAAGGTTTCCCTTGAGGTTCTTTTCTCAGTTAAAACACACAAGCCTGAAAAGCCGTTCAGGTATAATGCCACTGAAATGGGCACTCGGCAACTTCAGGTTAGTTGCTTCTTGTTTAGGCACCTAAACAAACTTTGCCTTGATGACCTGTTTGCCTCAAAAATTCGGCCACGACCACAGATTTTTGGATTACTAAAAGTGGTTTTGGGTGTGCCTTCAGTATTCAAAGGATTTATTTTATTCTGTGTTTCACTTTTTTCCTGCGTTAGAGAATGTATTTATGGCGATGGCAGCATCACTTTAGAAACTCTTACTGTTTATCAATTGACAATTCCTTGTCCCTGCTTGAATTTCACTTGAGTAGCACATTTATTTCTTTTAATGACTATGTATTTACAGTGCAAAGCAGTAGCACACCCAAGATTTCTGTCTGGAGGAGGGGGTGGTGTCTTAGAGCAAATAAAATGACAAATAATGTCAATCATGATTATGATGATGATTACTTCGGCATTTTCCAGAGACACCTCGCAAAAGCTTGACTGGTGCATCAATGAATTCATCAAAGCAGTATAAGTGAAAAATAAACTGCAGATTAATAAAGCAGTGCATAACAGTTTCCCACAATGTTGTCGGCACACGCTTATTTTTGCCGCTTCCGTACAGAGATAAGGGCGTCGAGGATATGCCAGCCTGTTGGCAGTCGCGCGATGTTGCAACTCTGCAGGTCAGGATGTTCTAAATTATGAGAGCGGAACATGATATCTGTTTCGTTTGAGTCTTGTGAAAGTGTACCAAAAGTGAATTGTGGGCTTTAACTAGTTGCATTTGTATTAACCACGTAGTCTGAATAAGTACACCGTTTTTATCACAGCAGTTCATACAAACTGATATAAAATCTAAGGAATATATTTGTTGCATAAAAACTGTTTGTCGGGTTTAGAAAGTAGAGAAGTGAAGCCACGTAAATTCAAGCACATTGAAAAATTCTTTATTCAGGTCTATAAGAGGTATATAATATTCATTCTGTAATAGTATGGAAAGTTGGGCGAGTTGGTCTGAGTACATTCTTGGAAACATTTCCGCGCGCACACAATAGACAAAAACACGAAAAGCAAAAAGACAAACAGGCGCCAACTCCCAACTCAGTTTATTGAAGAAAGGACACGAAATATATATCCCAGAATGTTTCCAAGAATATTCATTCTGTCAAGGTTGTCTCGTATGATTAAAATATGAAAGTTCACCTGACGTCAGAAAATATACTTCAGAAATTCGTTCTCGTATGCTAGGATTATTAGTTGGCCATTCACGCGTATCATTATGGCATCGTTAGCAAAATTAAAGTCAAATCAGGTAAGAGCCTAAGTCGTCCTGTCCAACATTTCGACAGTAGGATTTGTTTCTGTCAAAGCAGCTACGTCATCACAGGCGTGTTAGTTTGGTGCACTTGTCCTCGTTGTCTTCCTGTTGTTGTCGGTAACATGGGAAAGAGAACTCGGAGAGAAGTAAATCATACATAATTCACGAGCAAGTCACCAGCAAGAGCACATGTGAAATGTCTTGCTTCTGATAGTAGAAAGGGGACTATAGGACAAAGTCTGGAGAAAATTTATATGCAGGGAAAGCTTGCAAGTTGCACTGGCGATAAACACGATAGCGGCGCCGATGGTCACGTCAGAGACAAGTTGTAGAGGAGTCATCCGCTCAAGCTTTTAGTTATACAGCCGTGGAATCGGCGAGTTTTATAAGCATTTTACGTTACTATTGACTGATGTAGTGAAAGAACTCAAAGATTGTGCAAGTTATGCCAGTTGGAAGATCCAAGAGAATGCGCAAGCAAGACAGGTTCACCTACAGTGCTATACTAACATTAGGAATAAGTTAATAATCAACTAGTCAAGTGACCAAAAAGCAAGACAATAAAGGGTGAACTCAGCCCGAAAAGTTTAATCAATATGATTAAGCACAGATGAAATGGCTAAACCAAACGAAGAAAAATACTAAACTACAAGCATAGTTGAAGACTGTGTAAAACCATTAATTCTGGAGGCAGCACCCACAATTCCTGTTCTCAAGCAGGTCTTTGTAGCAGTGGCTTGTTCATAGAAGAGACACTCTGCAGCTTAAAGTCCAGCCGTAGTGACTTCGTGGGCAATTTGTCCAAAATCTTCTCAGGTGATAAGGAAAATTCTTTGTGAATATTTAGAAAAGTTAGACCATTTAACCTTAGCGCCCAAGTCGTGCTGCAAAGATAGGTTTTAAGACGTCTCAGAGTTGTGAAGGACCTCTCACTTGTGAAAGCCTTAACTGGCAGAGTAGCCATAATTTGAAGTAGTTTTCGGATCACAGAAAAAATACCACCTGGACAGAATTCCAACACTTACAGAGGACCCATTGAGAGTTTTTCAAGCTGCTGAAGCTTACTGTACCAAAGATATAGCTCTGCCACAGCACACGAACCCAAGTCCCCGACATCAGAACTGTAGCTCTCACAGAGAATGTGCATCGCATTTTCATTGTCCTTGCTCAGCAACAGACTTAAGGAAGAAGAATTTCAAATTTAGTAAGGATGCTCTTGTGCTTCACAAATCTCTCATCAATTTGTTCTGTGAAAGCTTCGAGAAATGGGAGGAATACACAACGACGGAAGTACTCCTCCGGAGTCGAAGGCACATTTGAGGATATCCTTTGCTGACCAACGAGCCTTGGCATTTCAATAATCAAGCCAAGCTTTTCACAAACTGACATAACGTGTTCAAAAAGTTCATGAAATACGTCTTGAGCGCGAGATCTAAGGTTACGCGCAGTAAACAAAACGTCATCAGCCAACCTTAGAGCGGAGGAAAGATTCCAGTTGACGGTTTGCAAGTATTTGCTTAACGGCAAGCTTATAGAGAAAATTTTTTCCGCAACAAGAAAAGAGACAAGAAATTTGCTTCTCTGCAAAGCGCTCGGAAGGATTTGAGCATTGGATGAAGATTCCCGATCATTCCAACTTTCGCTAATGTCTTGAAAAGTAGACAAAACAGGATGGAGAATGTTCACAAGGATATTGGGCGACAAGGATATTGGGGCATACAGGGGGGGGGAGCCTTTTGGGGGAGGTACAACCCCCTAAACCCCCTCGTGGGTGCCCCAATGCTTCAAAGGCATTTACATTGGTTCATGTGTAGCTTCTGTCTTATGCAACATCTTTCTTTCATCTATTGACCAGGCACTTAATTGCTAGAAACCTCGACTCGGATCTTTGTTTCGAAGCAACTGGATACGTTGAAGATTTCCTGGTATTTTTATATATCCCCAACTCTATGAACGCTTGCGACGATGTAAAGAATGTTTTATCAGCTTTTATTCAGCACAGTAAAGGCTTGACGTTTACGCATGAGCGACCTCAAAACAATCATTTGCAGTTTTTTCACATTAACCTGTTAGTAAAATGCTACACATTCGTGCTGAAGATACAACCCCCGTGCATGCAAAGACCTCCTGCCTTACGAATCTGCACACTCGAAAACCGTGAAAAAAGCCATTGCGGCAATGTGTCTCCAGTCTGCGTTGTTGAAGTCGTGCGAGCACACGATGGACAAGTTTTTAGAAGCACATTTCAAGGC